AGTTCATTTAGTCCTATCTAGTTCGTCAGAGGACTCGCCACGCAGTTCTTGTGCCTTCATGATGACTGAGAACACCCATCAGAAACCAAAAGACCTTTTTGAGCCTGCTGTGAATACTGCAGACACAGACGAGTCACCGCCCCAAGCGACCTGTAAGGATGTCGAGTGGAAAGGCAATATGCTTAAGCATATATTTAGCCAGGTACTTGGCATAAGCGTTGCTGATTGCACAGATGACCGTTCGCTGGACAGCCTGGGTGGTGATGCACTTGCAGCTGTGCAGATAGTTAGGGCGCTCGCTGAGAAAGGTATCCACGCGAATACCGATGACATCTTACGCAGACCGATCAAATTCAATATGATGGTTAAGGAGAGACAGCCACTTGTCAAACCATCTCAAGCTGCGAAGCTTAAAGATGAGATTAACATTCCATATCCACTGTCCTCTGCTCAGCAATTTTACATCAATCATCAAGGTCAAGACTGTTCTATAACTGAGAGTGTTTACCTACGCACCACTTCTCCGGTGAGCGAGGCAGTTGCTTCCAGAGCGCTTGGCTTGTTGGTGAAGCAACACTCTGCGCTTAGGTTACGCTTCTACCGTCAACCCAGTGGTGAACATTTTCAAGTTGTGACTTCAGATGTTGACAACTCCTATCGGGTGTGTTTCCATGACGAATGCGATACGTTGGACGGCATAGCATCGTTGGCTTCAGCGGCAGCACCGTTTGACATAGAGAAGGGTCCTGTTGTGGTTCTTCACTCCATTGAACAGAGTGGTAGCCAGTTGTTATACTTACGCGCGCATCCTCTTGTTGCGGATGCCATGTCATGGCATGTTATTTTGCCTACGTTGGACCAACTACTGCAAGATAAAGAGCTGTTCGAAGCCAACCGCAGCGGAAGCGCCTCCTACCAACAGTGGGCTCGACAATTAGCCAAAACAAAGCGCAAAACCGCTGAGCCCAATACAAAGCTTCGTGCAGAGGGCCTGAACAGAGACACTGCCCAGACCGGTGTTATCAAAGGATTTGCAAACAGCAATGTCTTACCAGGCTCCTGTATTGGCAAGCTATCGGTCGAAAACACCCATCAACTCCTTAGAAATGGCCAGCGAGTCTTGCGAACTGACGCAACCGATTTGCTACTCGCTGCCCTATTTCAGTGTGTGACGAAACATCAAAGGGTGTGGGTTGAAAACCATGGTCGTGATACAGGTATTGAAGATCTCAGTGTTGCGGGCACAGTTGGACGTTTCGCTTTATTTCAGCCGATAGAATTGCCACAGGAACTGTTTGACAGTGTCGATGTCTTGGAGATTCTTAGAACAATTAAAGATTTCCGGCGGAAGGTTCATGAGGGATCAGTTTCCCTGCAACAAGAACGGATCGAGAATTTCCGGACAATTTGCAATATCGGAGACGTCACATTTCAATGGCTCAGTCTTGACTTGAACAGATCGCAAAGCCTTTCACTTCTACAACAGTTGCCGCCATCATCCTCGTGGAGTCATTCGGTCCCTACAGCGCCACAGGCACGCCTCCAGCTCTGTGCTTGGTTGGAAGGGGGTCAGCTACATTTCCGATGTTTCCACGCAGACTCTCAAGTAGAAGCTGAATCTATGGTAGAGAGACTGCAGGGTGCTCTTCAGGCTTTGAACAAGGCACTAGAGACTCGAACAAGCGAGTGGACCGCTGCTGACTTTCCTCTATTCAAAGGTAGCTCAGGTGACCTTCGACGGTTGATGAGCCGACTTGGCACAGTGCTACAACTTTCAGATGTTCGAGATGTAGAGGATCTGCTTTCTTGTTCTCCTGTCCAGAAAGGTATGCTTATGGCCGAGCTTCGCGATAGCATGCAGTATATCACGCGGTGGATGTGGGAAGTAAAAGCACCAGCAGGACAAACACTCGACATTAAGCGACTCGAAGTGGCATGGCAAAGTGTTGTGCAGCGGCACACAGCTCTTCGCACGATGATCTTAGCGGACGCAGAGAAGGGCAGGTTTTATCAATTGACAATGAAGCGCACGATCGCTCGTGTCACGTTTCCGTCATCACAGCCGCTTCTAGGCAATCTCCAGCCATTGTCGCCCCCAGCTCAGTTGACTCCATCTGATATTTTTCTATCCACGCATCATCTAGCTATCTTCCCTATAAGCAAAGATGGAACCAGTTGCTTCGTGCAGCTAGACATTCACCATGCCTTTATCGATGGTTCTAGCAGGGCCATTATAGAAAAAGACTTTGTCGAAGCGTATGGCCAAGAAACGAGCGCCTCTTTAGCACCCGCTAGTCCGTACTCTCTCTATGTTGCAGAAGCTGAGAATCGATCTGTGTCGAACCAAGCCTCACTAGCCTTCTGGAAAGAGCATATAAATAAGAGCGGCTCGCAGATTGAAACGTGTTGTATTAAGCGCTTACCATGCAGCTCAGACAAGGACTCTGAGAGAGGAAAGGAATCAGCACAACAGCTCCGTCCTGCCGGCATCGTGGTAAACACGGAGCTTCAGGAGCCAGCACGTGTGCGAGAGTTCTGTATGCGCTACGAAGTCACGATAGCCGATCTATTTCAGGTGGCCTGGGGTCTTATGCTTCGTCTTTACGTCGGTACTTCCTCACCTTATTGGGGATGTCCAGTTAGCGACCGTGACACACAAATTACTGGCATACACGATATGGTTGGAGTCTTCCTCAATTGTCTTGTCTGTCGGTTAGATGCGGTTGATTCTGACTCTGTGGTGGAGGTTTTGCACAGATTCCAGAAAGATCAGCAGCAACGCATGCAGCATGCGACCTGTCCACTGGAAGACGTACAACATGTGC